ATAAAAGTCATATATGTGCACTTGCATAAGGTCGATTTTTATCCGACGCAGCTCATTTAATATTGCATCAGTTTCATCCGGATATGGTATCCGAGTTTGTGGAGGATTTTACTCACGCCTTCATCTGGTACTCCGTCTTGTCAAAATCTGCAAGAGCGTAAGAAGAAAAAACATACGGGGAAACCAGTTTAAAGTTTGTAAATAGCTGACTGCTGTAAAATTCATTTTTAAAGTAGATGCTTACGTTTTGAAATCTTTCATATCTTCTGATCTCAAGGTAGGCCTAATTGTATTCTAACATCAGAGACCATGTTGTTAATATTAGAAAACCGATAGACGCTGAACAGTCGAAATTGTTTGTGAAAAATACACGCGCCCGGCATCTGGTCTGGGACAAACAATATAGGGGAATTGTTAGTACACTATTACCAGATCTGATGTTTCATAAAATCAGGGACACTGATTCGCAGGTTTCCAATACTGAGTAGACAATGGCCCCTAAAATTTCACCTGGGCCACTTATTTTTTTTTTGGCTGGGCTACCACTGTACCAATATTATTAATACCAGAAGTCCATTACTAGACGAAGTGTGCAACTCGCTATATAGTAAGGCGATCACGTTGTCCCCATACTTCCAACTGTGATTGGAACGGGATTTGAGCTAGATTGCTATTAATAGTAACAAAAGTCAAACAAAAGCCAAATTTTTTGTGATGCATTCTGGGTAGAGATAATTTATTCAAAACACCCTATAAATTAATTAGCACACAATTGAATATAATGTTTGACCATCGACGTGTTAATGAATAGCAGATCCTAGATGCGATATTATATCAGTGTCATGAGTCATTATGATGGTTTAAATATTAAAAGATAAAAATGTTTGTATAATTTATCAATTGAAAAACTACAATTATAATGAAGTAAACTTGTAAAACAGAATAACAAAAACCTCACTTCTTAATACAATAAATGTTTGGTTTTAGAGGTAATTGTGAAAAAAATGCCATTAAAAAGTTGGCAAGGAAAAATTAGGTCGGAAAATTGTGTATACATAAACAGTACAAATAACACTGTACGTATTAGGAATGACATTTTAATAGGAATAAACATTATATTATATTTATTTTAAGAATATATGTTAGGATTTACAAATTTCAAAAAATAAGATTTTTTTTAAGTTACAAGGGATTTCTGTAGATATAACCATTTTTAGCAAAATTAACAAATTGTATCCTCAATTTTGAAAAAAGAGGGGGGAATTATTGTATGGCCTTTCTTCAATTTCAAATATCTTCGATCCTGCGTAACTGAGATCTTGACGGTAATACTACCTCGGTGATAGTGTGGACGAATAGAGGTTATCATTTCAGTCAGATATTGTTACATTTATCCGTTAAAATACATGTAAAAAATGCAGTTCTCAACACGTGCGTTCGACATATAAATTTTATAGGTTAAAATTGTAGGAAAAGTTGCGATCACGATCTTTGTAAACAAATGAGTAATAAATATATATTCTTTATGGTAGTATACTTTATACTGAAATAAGACGAAGTCCTATTTCAAAAACCTAGCTGTAGGATAATTTGATTTAATTTGTTCAAATACTAAATCAATCTCAAGAGTTGAGTTGTGCCGTAAAGAAATAAAGTCAGTAATTCCTGGAATTGTCCGGTTGCAACAGTAAAACCCTTCCTTACAAGTGTGGGATGTATACATTAATAGCAGCCGCGTCAGGTCGAAGGAGGAACTTCAGATCTAGCCTGACATCCTGACCCAGTCTAATACTTCGTCGAGCAGTTAGCCAGGATCCCAGGCTACTTCAAGTGAAACCTAGTACCTCGCGTATTCAGTATGAATGTTACGACCTCTGATGTCAAATTACACTTGAGACAACTCTGTGATGGGATATGCATATTTATATTTGCCACTGAATGTTACGTTAGCAACACGCGATAAATCAAATTTTTTAATCCACATGATCTACAGATGTCTTCAGTTTTGTGAGTACAAAACACAAAAAAAAGGACGTTTATGCGTTGCATCACTGACTCACGTATACTGTGATCTTGTGATATAGCGAACGTAATGACGGACAACATGAGAAAAGTATGTCTCTTAATTTAAAAAAGGTAAAAAAAACAAGAGACTTTTGAAATTCGAAATTGTTTCGAAGTCATATGAAGCAACAAATGGTCAGATATTATTGTTTTTCTGTAGAAGCGAAGAAAAAACCCTGTCATTTGCTTATTCATCACCGTATATAGCTTCCTTGGTGCCGTAAATGACAGAGACATAATTCGCCAACACAACGCAATTCTATTTAAAAAAGGAGACAGTTATGACTTTATTTTGACAAAAACGACTACATCTTTTAGATAGACGATACATTTTAAGTCCGACACGGCAGATTTTAAAGTTCTCATTTGCCTTTATGCGATGAAAGATGGTACCAATGAATTCGTTTATAAAATTTTATATCATTTTCTAAATATTGAATTTAAATGAAGAAGTAAACTAACTGGCAATAAGAATTAAACCACCGCACTAACGGTCGGCTGACTTCATTTACACCAAACTGATAATTAATCAAACGCTCAAGGAGACTAATTAACAGCTATCTGTTCGATGATAATATTTTTACCCATAATTCCATAGTTATAAAACGAGATTTTGGGGGACCACCAATGGCGCTTTCCACTGATAAAGGGGACATCGTGATCGCCTTACTATATAGCACAGGTTGCACACTAAGTCACTTCGTCTAGTAATGGACTTCTGTTAATACCCATCCCTGGAAATGGGTTGCTTCTTCTTTCAAATAAAGAATTGTATTCAATAACTGAATGGATATGGTCCCTAAAAATCTTTGTGTGCAATGTCAGGAAACAGAGCTTATCTTCTCAAAGCTATTTACATAAATTTATAATACTTTGACATGTGCATGATGTGGGAGGGGTTTTGTTAGGATTCTTTAGCTAAAAGAGACTGTGGCACTGTTCCATCTTTTAACTTTAAACACATGACCTAGATGCGTTAGTTAAACATGTTAAAATGAGAGGCAAATTGTGATGGGGATTAGCTTATCAAAGTTACCAGACACTCTACCGAGACCACCATAAACATGATAAAGTCCACTCTAACATCAATGTTGTATACCTGTATTTAGACAAATATATTACAAGGTAAACAGGTATTTAATATACAAACAGATGTTCTGTTCATATTTTGTCTCGTAATAATACCCTGGTAAATCAGCAGTTTAAGTTATGCTGGTAGAGAGGTATCAGCCTGTGCTTTCGGTTCATGTCTTGAAAAACTTATATAACTGCTCGACAGCCCTAAAAATACAAAAACAACTCAAGCTGAGGACAGGTATCAGAAACATAGAAATGATGAGAGGTAAAGATTGTGCCAAGCAATGTTTTTGCTCACATATAACAAAAAAACCAAGATTAATAAACAGTATCATATTTAACATGTTTAATCATGTTAATAGACAAAGATAATAGACCACAAACATAGAGGTATCTCATAAATTTAAACCTATATTTATAATACATTTTCATATTCAAACCACTTTACTGGATAAGAATGGATGCCGCATTTACAGTGAAAACAACCCATAATGAATTAACCAAGTGATATTAAAGTGTTTGGCTTTAGTGCTATAATATAAAACCAAGAAGATGTGGTATGATTGCCGATGAGACAACTCTCCACCAGACACCAAATGGCATAGAAGTTTATAACTATAGGTCACCATAGTGATACAGCCTTCAACAATGAGCAAAACCCATACCGCATAGTCAGATATAAAAGGCCCCGAAATGACAATTGTAAAACAATTCAAACAAAAATACACTGAAATACAGGCTCATGACTTGGGAAAGACACATACAGAATGTTGGAGGGGGTGTTAAACTAGTTTGTTTAAGATACTAATTACACATACATGTGACATGCTAGAAATTTAGATGTGACTGAAAACTGAAAAAAATCTCTACAGCTGTACACTTGTCGTTCTTAAAGAATTTAACTTCAATCAATCAAGTTCATGACGTCAAACATGCCGACTTCCGAGATAAAAAATACACCACCTGGTTTCACTGACTCTGTAAGCATGGAAAGACTAGATCAATTCAGAAGATTGACGACCAGTTACTCTACAATATCCCTCTCAGAATAACCATCCTCATTAATATGGCTATCAAAATGGACCATCTCATTTTAGACCCAATAGTCATAAAACATCAAGCTTTTCAATGAATGCACAATTCTTACTATTTTACTATAATAAATTGTAATGAAATGAAACATAAAATCTTGTGGATAGTTGTCTCATTGGCAATCATACCTCATCTCCTTATTTTTAAATTAAAATTGTATTAAATGAAATAAAAGTACGAATTTCCAGTACAAAAATTATTTACAATCTAAAGAAATATTGTCCGGATGAGGTTTAAATATCCAATTCTGGACATCAAGTCTCTAGCACGAGAAAAAAGATCCCTATAAAAACTCTAAGAATAACACCCAGGTAAAATACAATAACTGATAATAGAAAAAGGGAATATACTCATGTATTCCATGCACAATGCCATAATTATATTTATGGAGAGGTCTGCTGTGTCTGGTCACCTAATAGATAAGAAGATGTGGTATGAGTGCCAATGAGACAACTCTCCATCCAAGTCACAATTTATGAAAGTAAACCATTATAGGTCAAAGTACAGTCTTCAACACGGAGCCTTGGCTCACACCGAACAGTAAGCTATAAAGGGCCCCAAAAAATAACTAGTGTAAAACCATTCAAATGGGAAAACCAACGGTCTAATCTATATAAAAAACGAGAAACACTTATGAACCACATCAACAAACGACAACTACTGAACATCAGATTCCTAGAATTTTGGCTGCCAGTGGGCAAACTCATAAATGTCATATACCAATAATCAAATAATATTTGATATCGGATTGCAATTATAAGTTTATGCTTTTAGTTATCAATTTAAATTTTTTCTGTCTGTATGGAAGACTTAAACATGTAAAACAAGTACAATAAAAATTCTAGTTATGTTACATTGTGGAGATGAAGAAATCATGAAATGCTCAGTATAATCGGCCGCAGTGAAACAGAGGATTCCACTGTACCCTCTGTATCACTAGCCTAGGCATTTTTCAGTTCATATATATGATGGGAAAAATGTTTTGCAATACTTACCAGTTATCCTGATTTTGACATTTTTGTCCAGATTTAGCTAGACAACTGGAATTCAAGAAATTTCAAATATTCAGTAAGTATATATGTTTATCATGTTAATTGTTAGTAAGAAATCATGGACTAGCCAAAATCCTGATTTTCATAAATTCTATCCGAAAATTATTGTACATCGATGAATTTTCATGCTTATTGTAGCCATATATCCAACCACAATGTAAAACTACAAAATATAGGAAAGTCTGAATGATATCTGTCAATAGCCATCTTTTGATGACATTGCTTACTTTGGGTTTCACATTTAGGCTAGACTTGTTGTGAAGTCCGATTACTAGACGTACAGTATAGAGTATCACTATCGTTGACATACTTCCTTTAGCTTTCAATACATTATCAAACTAGCAAGACGTCTGTTATTTTAGTTCATACCATTGTACAAAATCTTAGCCACTATACGCAATAACTGTCATTGTATGATCTCTCTGTAGTCAAATGAGGCATGAATCTATTATCTATATGCACAGCTTACATTAAATAAAAGATGACACTATATCTTAGACTGATAGTTATCAAACTTGTTTATAAATTCTAACATGACGTTCTTCAAACGCTTTGAGTACACACCCGTGGTAAAATATGAATATATTGTTTGGGCTGTTCCAATTGTACTCCCGCGTCATATGTTTTTTTATGAATGAGCTACCCGACGTCATAGAACGATGACGTAAGAATATAAGCATTTTACGGGAAAATACACGCTTGTGAAACCGAAAATCATCACAACAAGGAAACGTAAACAAACGATGCAAAAATGTGTTATATAAGCCATTTTTTGTATACATATAAGACATATAAGTACAATTATCATTTAGATTCATCCAAACCTATCCAAATATGTTATTGTAAATAGTTTAAGCATGTCATTTATTCAGTTTGCTCCGGTCTTTTACGTCAATTTAATAGTGCGTTTATTTATGGGAACGGCAAATAATGCCTTCATCTAGAGCGCTTCGATCCAAAACAATTGCCGTATTTGTCCTATTAGACGAAATAATTCATGGGGGCTTGAATATATCGTGATTTTACCACGGGTTGTCCCTTTATGCCGATATTTTACCCCTCGCTATCGGTCAGGGTAAAATATTTGTCATAAACATGATAAAGGGCCAACCCGTGGTAAAATCACGATATATTCAAGCCCCCATGAATTATTTCTTAATTAAATTATAGGTTCATGATATCTTGATTGTGAAGTGAATTTATTTATAGTTGCCACTCCTGCATTTTTTATTTGTATAATATCTACTCCATTTTCAGAATAATGTGATAAATGGCAGGACGGAGGAAAAGAAAATTTTCCAATACGGCAGCTGAGCTACAATTAGATCCAGTTCTTCGACAAAAAGTGCAGAATGTTTTTGAAAAGAAATTCACTTATTCCAAACCTAAAGACGGCATTTGGAAGGTGCCAGAAAATTTTACCAAACATAAAGATGATTGGGAAATTGAAGAACTAATGACCTTGAAATCAAATTTGAACAGTTTGAAGGACAAACTGAGTGATAAAGACATTGTAAAATGGCATCAGCATACAACATTTATGAATCTTGCTGGGAATGTAAATTCAGAATTACGTCAAACAGTTCGTCCAGAACTATGCACACAAGCATGGTGTAAATTCTATGAAATGGTATCATCTTATGACCTCGTTGACCTACAAAATGATACTTTTAATTCTGTTCATCTGTGTGAAGCACCAGGAGCATTTATAACAAGCTTAAATCATTATCTTGTTTCTTCTGGTAAGATATAAAATACTGAAAATATCGAAGGTACTTCACTACAAAAAACACCAATTTTGCATTCTGGAAATATAATGTAACGGTATATTCAGCCTTATTTAACAATGATTGACCTTAAAGGATGTTTGCAAAACAATCACCATAGGTCTGTGACATCAAAGATTTTCTGTTTAGAGGCTAGAAAAGTACATGGAAACTTTATAGTTCCTTCAGTTGCAGACAAAATCAAAATTGATCATGTAAATGTATGGTTTATAAATTGGCAGTCGCAAATCACTGAAAAATCATTAATTCATCAACCTATTGTACAATTTAGTTGAAGGCACCAAATCTCCCACTTGTATCATGTGTTTGATAGTCGTTAGTGATACAAAATACATTAGTTGAATCTTCTGAAACAAAATAAACAATGATAAAATGTGAAATATACAAAAGGATCATCACGAACATGATACAGCGTGACACCTTGAACCCTTTGCAACTAAAAACTGAAATGATTTTATCAGGTCAAATTTCATATCTAGTTAATATATTACTAGAATTTTTATGTTATTTGTTATTGAGCATACACACAAAGAATGAGGTAGGCTAACATGGCTAACATGTGAAAACTTTGCTTGCATTGGGTAAGAGAGGATATTGATTGAATGTACACAAAACAAACATCAGTTTAATTGAAGTCTGGAGCTGGCATGTCAGTTAACTGCTAGTAGTCTGTTGTTATTTATGTATTATTGTCATTTTGTTTATTTTCTTTGGTTACATCTTCTGACATCAGACTCGGACTTCTCTTGAACTGAATTTTAATGTGCGTATTGTTATGCGTTTACTTTTCTACATTGGCTAGAGGTATAGGGGGAGGGTTGAGATCTCATAAACATGTTTAACCCCGCCGCATTTTTGCGCCTGTCCCAAGTCAGGAGCCTCTAGCCTTTGTTAGTCTTGTATTATTTTTAATTTTAGTTTCTTGTGTACAATTTGGAGTTTAGTATGGCGTTCATTATCACTGAACTAGTATATATATTTGTTTAGGGGCCAGCTGGAGGACGCCTCCGGGTGCGGGAGTTTCTCGCTGCATTGAAGACCTGTTGGTGACCTTCTGCTGTTGTCTGTTCTATGGTCGGGTTGTTGTCTCTTTGACACATTCCCCATTTCCATTCTCAATTTTATTTAATATATATGTATATCAGACATGTCAGAGAGGAAAAATGTCTTATTTACCTTGTTTACTGTAAATTCAGAAATTTTTAATGGATGTTTTATTGCAATTATTGAACAATGGTACACTACATGTGAGAAATGAGAGATTAATTATTAATGATGATTTCAGAAATGATTGGACACAATTCATTCTATAAAACTTTGTAATGGAAGTTTTCATTTTTACAAAACCTTCCTCATTGCAATTTGTAAAAATAATAAAAACATCACAAAACTTTATTATTTGCAGTACTGTCATGACTGTGGATTCTCTTATTTTCGTTAGTACCAATTTTGGCAGATTAAGGAAAAATTGTAGATTAGTGGATATTTGACTTTGTGGTTTTGCCAAAATCTACAAACAAACTGATAGTTAATTTGTACTTCATTGAACTTTTAAATTCATAGTTTACCTACAAAATCCATGAAAATGGGTATCCTACGAATAATAATAAATAAGTAAACTTGTTTATCTTTACAGATTACAGTGGTACATGGAACTGGATAGGTACTACACTTAATCCGTATTACGAAGGAAACAACCCAAGTGAGATGATTGATGATGATAGATTTGTACGTGGTAGCTATGGCAACTGGGACTTTGGTGTAGATAATACTGGTAACCTCATGTCCTGGCAGAATATACAACAAATTAAAGATAAGGTAGCAGTTATGGGACCTGTTACACTGGTATGTATGATATTTACAGTTTATTTTAATGAATGTTAATACAACATGAATCTATACAGTTGAACTGTCATTGAGTTTTAGAGGAAAACTAGCAATTATGTTTGAGTTCGAATGACTTGAGTTGAGATCGACAAGATTTTAAAATAAGCCAGATTCAAAGATTTATTTGCAGTTAATATGGTTAAACTTCATTCACCAGTAATGTACTTTCATTCCCCTTAAGATGAACATGTATGAAAATGATAATCTCTTATATAATAGAAGTGGAAATCTTCCTTTAAACACATCAGTAATTAAAGACCAATATGCATACACCTGTTACAGGAACATTATGACTTTCAAATGCACATTTTTTATAGGTAATACAATATATAACTTTATATGTTTTCTTGTGTCATGTATGAGTATACACGTAAAAGTAGATGTTTGGTATGCATCAATTTTGTGTTATAGAAATATATGAAATATACAATAAGACAGTAACCCAATAAAACAAACAAAAAACACAATACATCTAGAGGTCAACCTCAAGGTCTTCAATAATAGACAAGGGTCTAAACAATATGCCAAGCTTGATGGTAATTTTTTTTTCAAAGTAATAAACAATTTTGTTCAAGACAATTACCAGTTTTTACATATAATCTGCATTTTACTGATTTACAGGTTACGGCTGATGGCAGTATTGATTGTCAGGATAATCCTGCAGAACAGGAGAAGGTTGTCTCAAAGTTACATTACTGTGAGGTTTTGTCATCCATTTTGATATTATCCCCTGGAGGAAACATGGTGTTGAAGAAGTTTACAATGTTTGAATGTGATACCATATGTTTGTTGTATGTTTTAAATTGTTTGTTTACAGAGGTAGGTGAAATAGAAAATAATTCAGAAAAGACCTCAAAAGATAGTGAGAAGTATTCTCCATTTGTCATGCTTTATATCTGTAGAAACAAAATAAAAAAATGTCTAAAATTTTTACAATGTACAAGTTTTTTTAATGAAAAATATAATTAAGGGTAGAAAAGTAGGATAATAATTATTTAAAGTTAAATGAAACAGAAAATGAAAACAATATATACATTTAACAAGGGTATATTTCCCTATAATAAAGTTTATACAATTTGTGAAGTTTGAATTTCTTTCTCACACAGGTAACTGTTTTTAAACCAGCTACAAGTAAGAGTGGAAATTCTGAGGTTTATTTAATCTGTTTGGGATTCTTAGGTATAGACAGTATACAGGGACAGATAGAAGAGCTCTGTGAGAAATATTTCAGTAAGTTCACATTATCTGTAATCAGGCTTCATATATTGCTGTAAATTCAGAAATTATTTGCTGTAACTCCTAAATACTTTTGATGTTCTGAAGCAAGGCTTCCAAAACGGTCATATATTCCGGACATTTGTATAATGTCCGGTAAAAGTCTGGCTGGGCAAAGCATGAAACGGTCATCTACTTTTTAGTTTTCAAGGCTTTCTTAAGAGACGGTCATTTTAACATAATTCGCGATCTTTTTGACCCAACCTTTTGCCTTTAGCAGCCACACATTTCCGGTCATAAAAGTGACATGATCATTAAGTACTATCAAAACAACCCCTACTTTAATACCTTCTCATTTTAATCAAGGCTAAATAGCTGTCGAACAGCTGAAATTTACCTGTTCAGGTGACAGGTAAACTATTTTGAACCGGACATTGATCGGTCTATTCAAAGTTATTTTCTTACATTTCAGCGGTTTGTATCTAATTAATTTAGTCAAAAAGATTTAAATTATCAGAAATACGTTTACAAATATGATTTGATGAAAAAATTAAAAAGGTGAAAATGAAAAATCGTCATAACCACGATGTTTGAACCAGAGACATGTCTCTGATTGAACTAGTACACGTGTGCGCATGTGCGCAGGTGTGAAATTTAATTATGCATCCTAATTTCTTCAAAAAATGCTTAAATTGTCATTGATACCTTTATCTCACGTTTATTTCGAATATTTTCTTGAAGAAATAACGTAGAAAGAGCTACGTACACTCATTCATGCTTTGCAAACGTACACGGAATTTACGTATCCGTCTCGGGTCCATGTTTTACCATTGTCAAGATAACATCCGGTATAAGATTTTAACGAATGTAAAGTTTTTGACAACGTTATTTTGCACAAATAAAGAGTCTAAGGCAGATATAAGTACGCTGATGTTGCACACTTCGAATGATGCACTGCCAATTTAACAGTTTACGTCAGAACTTCGAATTTGAATCAAAGAAAGTTTAATATCGTTTTTTTTTTAATGTCAATCATTGGGATGGCCAACTCAGCAACTGAATACCATAATTGCCTTTTGTTTATTTAGTCTTAAGGGATTAAAATCGGGATAATATATAAAATGTCCGGCTGGCTAAAAATAATTTTGGAAGCCCTGTTCTGAAGGCAGCAATTCTCTGGTTTAATCAAGCAGGGTTTATGTAGAGTAGAATTACAAGTGAAATTGAAAATTTAACCTTTCATCTCATTTGTCAATTGATTGTGACTTAATGAGGAAATTATGTTCACATTTTCAAAACAAAAAAGGACAATACATTATAAACTTAATAATTGTCGTATATTTTCTTATTTTCAATTACAAATGTCTACACTATACTTATCAGAACTTTGAAATAACCACTTATTCACCTGTTATGACAAACAAAAATTCTGGTTGGACCTGTCTACTTATGAGTAAATCTTAATATGTTAACAAATATCATAATTAATGATAAAAAAATGTTCACCAGATGGATTCATAAGTTGTACATATATTTACATCTGCTGTAATATTCAATTACAGGTTCAGCAGAGTCAAACACTGAGATTCATTGCCTATTCAGTCAAGACGAAATTCCAGAAGACTTTCTACAACAACATATCAAATGCTGTAACTACTTCACATCACTCCAAGAGGAGACAATCCAGACAAACTTGAACTACTTTGAAAAAATGTCAGATGACTTCAGCAAAGAAATCATTGGAATGAAAGTTTGCTGCACTGATCTATATTTCTCCAAATATAATGTCAGATCTATACCAATGTATTTAAAAATCACACAACCACAGGTCATTATTTTCTTTTCATTATAGAGCACCAAATATTTCTGGTAAATGTCTACAAAATCAAAATAAAATAATTGATATAATTAGTGATCTTTTTTGGATAGAATACTTAGAATATATTAAAAAGACTGACAATTGAAAATCAATAGAATAACATTTAGCAAACTAAAAAATGTGTGCACACTTCCTTTGCCTTGAACATCTTGCTGGCTTGAAAGAGGTTATTAAAGTATAAATGATGTTGAACTTGCAATCAAAGACACAAAAACTTGGCGGAACATGAGCCACAAGACCTTGATGCAAAAAAATGCCTCTAGTTTAGATATATAATTACAGTAGATGAGGAATGGAAAAACGTTTTATATTTGGTTGATGTGCATGATGTGCCTAGCATCATAATACATTCTTGGATTACTTCAGTATTCAGAAAAATAATACCTGTTGTTGATGTCCCTCAAAGATCCCTAACAATTTTTTTTCTTCAAAATAACTATTTCAATAGCAAAAGCACTCTCATTTTACTGAAAACTATGAATAAAAGGAGTTGTTGGGTATATGAGACCGCAACTTAAAAGCACAAAAGACGCACTTGGAATCCACACTTAGTTTCATTTTCAAAATATGTTTAATTATTTTTTACAGAAACAACAAAAGAAATCCTGTAATCATCGCTATAGGGAAATGAAAAGAAATGAAGGGACATACAATGATAGAGTTAGAGTTCAGGCATTAAAATGGGAACAGAGAGTGCTCCAGTATGATACTTATGACATTGATTACAGCTGTATGGAATGGTTTCGAGTAAGATCACTCACTTCTTTAATATGTCAAGGTTTAAAGAATAGATGTATCTTAATTCTGAAATGTCTCTGCTTATATTCTAAACCTCCTTTTGGTCCTTGACTGGCAATAAGAAATAGTTCTTTTATTGCATTTCCTTGAACATAAGGCTACATGTTACTTGAATAGTTTGGTCTGCTTCAGTGTTTTCCAGTTTTGTAACTTGGGATGTGTCTTATAGGTGTGAAAAAAACTGACTAAAATTCATTCAAATATGACAACACTGGACCAAATACAAACAATAATGATGATGCAGCTGCATCATTTTTTGATAAACTTTGCTAGAGGGGCTCATTTTTGCTTGTCCTCTGTTCACTTTTGCCAAAATATGGCCTTGAATTTCAACTTGATCATACAATATTAAAAAGGCCTGATTTTGGTTCTTAAATTGATCTATTACTAAAGCATAAATGCTAGGCAATATAAATTTGTTCATAAGAGTATACTATAAGCTCCAAAATCAGTACATTTTAGAATTATTGTTAAAAAACATTGATTTGGAGCATATTTTACACCTAAAAGCTTCAGGAAAACATAGCCACATGCTATGATACAAAATGGTCTGTAGCCAAAAGGTGCAAAAGTTTATATTGAATTCCTAAGCACAACATTTTTTCTAGATCAGGGGTTGTGACCAAACTTAGCTATTGTAAAAACTGTTATAAACTTTGTAAAAATTGGAACAAATAGAAATTTCAACACAAATAATGTTAATTAAGAGGTCAAAACTTAGTAATTATAATGTTATGTTCCAAAAAGAAGTAGTTATATCTCAATCATTTCTATGTAAAATTTGTGACATTTCAGCCAGATTTAAAAAAAAATCAAATCTAAGGGCCAATTTTAAACCTTCATTAACCTACTCCTTTGCTGTCCAAATTTTAAATTTCAAATTTGGTTAAAAAATGAGAAAAATTGACTGTGATATCCTGCAGATTTTGACACAGATGATCAAAATAACATGAAAAAATAAAAACCTTTTAGCAGACCCCTGAAGCAGCAACTGATTTTTTTATTTTTATTTATTAAACAGAACTTCTATCCACCTGAAGAAGAGGATGTCAGGAAGTGGGCATGTGCAACAGGATGTCAGGTCACTACAATCAAGAGTTCCAAATTTTGTGATGGAAAGTTTGTTCAACAAGCACAAGATATTAGTATCAACCGGAAGGTATACATTTTCTGGTTCACTATGTAGACAAGTACTTTTTTGTCAGATTTATTGGTAATTTTAGCTTTTGTTTGATATGCTGATTTTTTCCTGTCTGAAAAAAAAACCAAATAAAAGTATTTGTGAAAAAAACAGTTAATACATGTAAGTTAATTTAATCACAAAATGTGGATGATATCACAGTCACTTTTGCCAGATAAGTATATTTAGAAAAATAAAATATGATTTACAAGGTTTCTTTAGTTGACGTACTGCATAATTGAGTGTCAACAAAGTTGTTTTATTAGGATCAAACTAAGCCAGAACAGTACTTCAGTTGCAAGTCATGATATAATTTTTACACTCTGGAAGTTATTCTGCAAATCTCTTTACAGAATGTATCTTTAAACCTCGCTTTAAGGTTGTAAAAATTCCAAGTGTTTGTTTTAAAGCCTGAGCACCTTATTATTATAGTTAAATCTAAGGTAGCTCTAATCATGATTGATAATCAGATGGGTCAGGATGAGCAATTCATTTCAGATAGGTGACAATGGTAGCCTTTTCTTCCATTCCTCTGTCCAAATTGTAAACTTGGATATGTATGATGGCTTGTTTTGAAGTTGAGACTCTTTCACAGATGTGGTTAAATTTGAGGGGTACGAATGAGATTAAATTTTTCACAAATTGGGAAATCCTGAAAGGCCCCATGTGATGCAGCTTCAGCAAGTAAAAAGCCCATATTTGATACATTTAAATTCTGGAAATTCAGTTCTTTACAAACATTTAATAACTCAAAGTTTTTACATCTCAATTGTACAGTCTTCTGCCTTTCAAACAAGCAAAAAAGGTTACTCTCAGTCAATAACTAACATCATTACCTACAAGTTTTTTACTTCCATTTATAGCTGAGGTACATGAGGGAAATTGACCCAGATGAGTCACCAATTATTTTATTTCTTCAGAATGAAGAATCTAAGATGGCTGTCCTCTCAGCAGATTATAATGTGTCATCGATCATTTCATCATTAGATATTTTGTTTAACCAATCAGTGTATGATTTTCCATGTCATGTGACCATTGTATCATCAGCTGAATTGAATTGTGATGAAATCGAGAAGCAGGAATATGTAAATAAGGTAACAATAGTATTAGTTTTAAATTTGTTTACAACTGACAAAAATAATTCTTGTATTACCATACTCAAACAATACTTTGATTTTAACTCTTTGTATATGAAATCACTAAAAACTAATCATTTAGAAATCCTATGAATATTTTAAGAATATGTTTTTGTCTCCCCTAGTGTTATTTTGAGCTGCTCATCCATTGATGATCTGTCGAAAATCAAACAGTACTTATTGCCCTAACATGCCTTATTTTAAGAATAACAAATACCCTGTGGCATAAACTACATTTGTTATTCATAGATAACCATGGTTGAAGATATGACAGAAGTTTGTGGTCATACAATACTGGTGTACCTAGATATATTCAACACCACTACAGAAACAGATATTGCCTCACAGAAAACTCTGCTCAAGAAACTGACGAAGATGTTTCAGGTATTAGAATAATGATAATGGACCTGGTTATTGTTAGGTTACTGAATATTCATTATTTATTGTGGGATATCAGTTTTTGTGGATTTTGTGGGTTTGAGGAAACCACAAATTTAAATGTCCTTTGAAGTAAAAATTTTCTATAGGCTTGTATGCAGACTTAGGCAAAACCACGAAAATATCAAATATGCCCGAATATTTAATTTTTTTCTCAATCCATGAAAATTGGTATCCACCAAATTAATTGAGTCCACAGTTTTATAGAAGGATTTAGTCTATACATTTTTGGGGTATAGATTGCATTCGTGCAATTAATCCCTTATGTGGTTGGCTTGATAGTTGATCAATTTTCCAGACTTTATCAATATTTTGTAGATAAACAAAACTTTGCATTGGACACAACATTCTATACATCCTATATATATATATAAAAATGAGGAGATGTGGTATGATGCCAATGAGACAACTTTCCACCAGAGTTCAAATGAAGTGGTAGTAAGCAATTATAGGCCACTGTATAGCCTTTAACAATGAGAAAAACCAAAGCGTATTGTTGGCTATAAATGGCCCGACATGAAAAAGTGAAACAATTTAAAAGAGAATACTTATGGCCTAATTTATAACAAAACAATTTATGACATATGCATGAACCGACTACAACCACTGCACTACAAGTTACTGACTTGGGACAGGCACATAAAGAATGTGTTGGGGTTCAGCATATGAACATTTCAGGAAATTAATCAATGCAGTATATACTCAAATATTCCCCTTTCAAAATAATGTGTATGTGTGTAACCAAACTTGTCAAGAAAATTACATAAATTGTGCATGGTTCATGAATCTGGTATCTGTTCTACAAATATCAAAGCTGTGTGTGTCTTTGTTAAAGAAATATTTAGAATTGGAGTTATCTTCCTTTGCCCATAATTGTAGTTGAACCAATTTATAGTTTTATAACAATGAAATGTTTAATTTTTGGTTCCCATCCCAAAATGGATGCAATCTTTACCGTTCAGTGCTCACAAGCACTTTGAATTTTTATGTTAACTAGATCAATTTTACTTCTGAGATTTTGAAACAACATGTAGTGAAGTGATGACAGCTGCATTGTGTAATACCTGTAATTGGCTCTTGTGTGTTGTTAATACTTCAAAAATGCTGACTTAAAAATATGTTTGTCTCTTCTGTGAAAAAACTCATAAAGTGAGACTTGTTTCCAGCTTCCCTATCACTGGTGTCAACAAATGTTAAGTTTGAAATTGGGTCACACAAGCTTACTGTTGTAACCAGGTGCGGATTCAGACAGGGGTGTGGCGGGCGTGCTCCCCCCTAAAATTTGCAAAGCATGGGTTGTCCTCAGCTTAATAAAGAATATTTCGATAATTTTACCTCAAAAAAAGTTTTAAATTTAAGTTTTGGCCCCCAAACCTAAAATTCTGGATCCACCCCTGGTAACAGTGTATTTTAATCAAGTGATACCCCGTAACTTTTTTCAATAAACTGAATGATCAGTTCTTGACAGATTATATTTGGGGAAGCTCTTATTCAAATGAGGAAGTGTCTTATAGAGAATAGATTTACTGAACATTAACAGAACAAAGGGACATTTTATCCTGCAGTTCCATGGGGGAAATTATAGCTAGCACATTAACTCTGGCTTCATTCCCAAAGTACAATGTTTAAATTGATACATCACAATTTCAATTCTTTTTAAAAGAAAGATCATATACTTTTCTTGATAGTAATTTTTGTTGTTTCTAGATTTAAATGAAATAGACAACTTGGGAAGTACTTTCATGTTTGAAAAATGATGTTTTGGACAATGCTATCTAAGTCAACATTAAGTGTTTTGTAACAGTTATTGTTTTATCAACAAAACCTGCATTATTTAGCAAAGACATATTTATGTATCAAATGACCATTACAATACCTTCTTTAATATACTTCTTGTAAACTCTGACTTTCTAGGTGATCGTTGACATTTAATTTACTTCTTAACAATCCACTGGAATATATCTGAAAACAAGGTTGATGATCTATATTTACTTTTAAAGTTTGGATCAGAGATTTTTTGGTATGGCTAAATCTCATTGTCAATCAAACCACATCTTACGTTGATATTTTTATGACTACAATAAAATGACAGTTACCATACTATTTGCTTAAGGTGTTGTATACATGTATATCAAACTAAACATCTGATGATCTTTTGTTCCAATATTTCCAGGTTTTGCCAAAAGAAAACACAGTACTGATACAGATGCCAACATGTCTGACTAGATTTACTGCAGGAATTATATATCTTCTTAGTTCCTGTTTTCAAAAGGTTAGACTATAATAATTTGTACAAACTACAATTAAGGGTTGTTGAATGATATGGTCCACCCCAGCAGTCTACTCTAACATGCATGACTGTAGTTTTGATTTCATCAATTTTGGAAAAATTGCAACAATATAGTTTATGCTCATATTATACCTAGGCATTATACCAAAAAATGAAATTTTTCTGTTATGAGATGAAAGATAACTTGCTGTAAATTTAATTACCTGTATGTGTGCAATGCAATTCAATTCCATATCAGAAAAAGAAAAACATAAAGTTTACAAAGAAATATGCTCTAGAAATTCTTAAAGTCCTATAAAACTTGTATCTACCAAACCAATGTTTGCAAAAGTTATACATTGTTCATTTATGATCGACATTTAGAGTTATGGTTACCGGGGGAAAATTAGCAAGAAACACCATAAATTTAAAAAAAAAAATCTGTTAAAGGGTTATTAATCATTAATTTACAACTGTACCTTAAATTCATAGGCTCTACTAGATTTATTAGTGGCCATTCTTGGCATTTGGCATAGAAACCTGGTCAGTAATATAATCCCCACGGAGTCTGTAGTTTTGGCATGGGACATTATAATTAAGTGCATCATATGCAAGATTGTTGTACACAATTAGTCGGATGAGCAATAAAGACTGCTTGGTAAAAAAAGTATTAATTCTGGATTTTTTTTGTACAGGTAGGTTTTTTACCACAACCAGGAAAAGAAAGTTTGCTACAAATGTTGATCTGCTATAAATATTCTGGTGTATCACCCTTCCTGTTAGAACACTGTTGCCATCTACTGGATGAACAAAATTCCAAGGACAGTAAATCTGCAAATGCTTTGCTGGAAACAGTACCAATACTTTCATTAATAAATGGTAAGATTGTTTAAATTTATCATAGAATTTTAAAAAAAAAATTAGAAAAGTTTTTCATAAATAATAGAGCTTCTTATTGAACAGTTGAATGATTTGTAACATATCTTTCTTAAATTCTCCATTGAGAAATTATTCAGAAACTTAGGTTCCAACTCCCTCTGGCAACAGAAGGAAAACTAGATGATAAAATTTTTAATTTAAATATGACAAAATAACTTATTTAATATAATTTCAGAACAGGGTATATTAAATTTTGTCATTGTTGTTCTTTTCTTGTAGCATGGCACTAAATGTTGATTTATTGTACAATCTATTATAATTTTAATTTGTATCTCGTCATAGTTTTGTAAATCATTGAATAATTAGAAAATAAATATTAAACAAAGTATGGTTATTTTAGTTAAAAGTATACTAATCATTTGAGCTCCTATATGGCCACCACATTTTTATAGCCTGATGCTACCTTTGCCTTAATAGTATATAAATTGGGTGATTGAATATTAAATAAGGAGATGTGAGATGATTGCCAACAAAGTACACTTTTCTGAATTATACCATTTGAATTTTAAAATTTTTTCATAGTATGTAAGGTAGAGAGTGAGAAGTATTCTGCTTTAACAGGTTTAATGATTCAATTATTGAAACCTTGTCATGTGTCTGTTTAGATAATTATTGATTGAAAGTATAATTATGTTAAAAGTTTTATTTTGTTTTCTAGATCCAGAGTTCCTTCAGTTTCTGATGAACAGTAATGAGAACTTATTAAAATCCTACATAACCACCATTGTATCCAATGTGAGACAGAAAATCTCTGGTCAGACCTGAAAGGAAAATGTATTTCTGCAAGAAACATTGTCAAATTGATCAAAGACATGAATAATGCATAATCCATGTTGTTACATAATAGTAAATGATGGCTTAATTTAAGTTTGATTTACATGTGTAAGATAAATGATGTGTAAAATAGCCATGATTTGATTGAAGTATGAACCCTGCTTTGTGTGTCAGAAACAATATGAGAGCATACTGTGGTTTTAAAGTGAAATGGTGTGTAGAATCGTGTATGATATAACACTGTGAAATGGTGTGTAGAATCGTGTATGATATAACACTGTGAAATGGTGTGTAGAATCGTGTATGATATAACACTGTGAAATGTCTGTTTGCTTTCAATGGAAAAGTATGAACTAGTTACAGCTATATGTGTAAGTTCATGTGTATGATGCAATACTCATGTTATGTAATGTCTTTACAATTGAAGCTAAACATTGGAGTACCTATATATTCTTATAAAACGGTCTGTTACGATTATGGAATGCTTAGTAGGTGAGAAATTATGTAGCGAGCAATCTTGTGGTTTAGATGTAAAATTCTCACTTGAAAGATATGACATCTGTTGATCATTTAACAAAGTTATTGACTTTGAGTGAAGTGTAGAACATTGGCTTTGAGTGACATGTACAACAATAGCATAATCCCTGATATATACACGAGTTACAGAAGTGAGTGAAAAGGTATTGGACAAGATTCTTGAAGTTTTAAGATATCGAGAGCTGAGACATTAAACTTCCTGATATGATCGTGTAAAATATGTATTTTTCTACAGACGGTGTGATAGAGAGCTTTAAATATACACACAGAAAATAACATGCAGTAGGAAAAGTGAATTGATTGTGGTGCTGTTGAAAAACTATAATATAGCTGTTTTTGTCCCCATTTGTTATCATTTGACAGTAGGAATAGTTTGAATAATGTATTACTGAAGTATACCTCATTCTCCATATTAAATATGCTATATTGCTAACCAACAATTATTTTTATGTTTGTTTCATTATCGTACATAAATTGAATTTTTAGTCCAATAATATAATTTTACAGGTGAAATGTTCCATTCATTAGTCCCCCACCAAGGGGACTTTAGGTTTGCACTCCGTCTGTCTGTCTGTCTGTCTGTCTGTCTGTCTGTCTGTTAGTCCTTCAAATCAGTTTTCCAGACTTTTTTTCTTCATGCTTGAAGATATTGATTTGATATTTGGTGTATTGTTTTATCATGACAAGTTACAGGTCAAGATCAATTTTCACGATTTTAGCTTTTCTCCTTTCCCTTTTACTAGATTTCTGTTCAAAGGGAAATAACTCATTTTTTAAAAGATTTTTAAAAGATATTTTCATTAATGATAAATGACATTTTGGATTTGTTCCCTTTTCCATGGTAAATTGTTTGAAGAATTTAGTGGTAGGTTTGTTTGTTATTGATTCTGTATAAACTAATTTTCTGAATGCTATATATTAAAAAAATTTTTGGATGAAGTGAACTCTTTTATTTAGATAATAATCTATTTTTGATAAAGGATATATTTCGTTTAAGAAATAACTCATGGAAGCCATAGATTTGTTGGAAATTTACACATGGTCTCAGCCATGATATCCAAATTTATCCTGAGTGCTAGTGAGGGATAAAATTAACAAATATCATCGCCCAGGCCATGTGTAAATTCACTAAAATAATCAGTTTTCCACACTTTTTTTTTGTCATTCTTGAAGATTTCGATTTGATAATTAGTATATAGTTTAATCATGACAAGTTACAGATCAAGTTTGAATTTTGTTCTGGTCTGATGATTTTGTGCAGAGTTATGGTCTTTGGACATAAAAAATTCACTTAAATAATCAGTTTTCAACAGTTTTTTTCGTCATGATTGAAGATATTGACTTGATATTTTTATGTAGTTAAATACACCATGACAAGATATTGATCAAGTTAGAATTTCTTTCAATTACAATGAATTTTTAACCGGTAGGGGACTATATATTGCCATACAAAACTCTCAGAATGCTTGTTATTCTTAAATTACAAAATTGATTTGCATAACTAGCCTTTAAGATAGTTTTAATTACATTGTTTTGTACGTATATATGAACATCTTAACTTTCATCAATTATAATATTATTGTAGTAATTAACCACAAGCCTTCTTCAGGTTCTTTATATTTTCAATTGTAATCACCTTGTTATTTTGTGCATCTCAACCTTTTCCTTATTTTTTCACTGTTACTTGCAATAGCTACTGATGAACATAAATATTTGCAAATCAGGATATCAGTAATAATCATTGATGATAATCTTCGAGGACTTGAAAATAGCAATAAAACAATAAGACTCCAGAGAAAGAGAGTTGCATATTGCATTCAGGAAATAACAGAGTGTTGTCAGCACAATTTACAGCACTAATAAAATGATTTCAGATTTTCTGGAGGAATAACCACTTTGTCACTATGTAGCTGGGAAAAATAGAAATTGTTCAACACTTCTGAATTGATCATCAAGGTGATTGATAATTAATACCTTAAAAACATTTGTTACTAGTTTCTGTGGAAATTACTCATGTTTCTGGATTATTCATCAAGTACTGGAGATTAAAAGTTGAAAAGCCAATATGATCAAATATTATAGAGCATACAAACAAAAAAGACCTTGACAGAAGAGCCTGAAGTGTCGAAGGTCAACAATGAGTAAGATTAATAAATAATTACTTAATGAGCTGATACTAAATGATCTCCATGCAAAATGAAATTAATGTATTTCCATCCACTCATCCATTGGTGATATTAAAGTTATAATTTATATGTTATAAATTACATTTAAACATCTTGAAAGTAGTGAACAGATGAAGGCATTATCAACAAAATGACCATTTACTACCCAGATTTTACAAGTAAAAGATTTTAATTTTCAGATGAAATTTGAAAGATGTAGGTCTAAGTCCCCCTGAATTTTATTCTCTCCAGGATCATCTTAAATGAGATGTTCACTAATAAATTTCACAGCAACACAGCTTTACGTGTATATATTGAAGGTTCTTACAACATAGTGACTTGTTTCTAAACATGTAATCAAGTTGAGTATGCCTAAACACACATTGAAGCTTTAATTTTACGGAAAGTTTGCAGGAAAATTTTCCTGAAAGTCTTTATTTAAAGGGCAATTATATAACTTTTACATGCAATCTATGCATATAAACCTCAATTTGATTGTAATGTTCAAACAAGTATATACCAAGCGGAAATAAAAACTTTCACTTTCCGTAAACCTCAACCAACATGTAGTTGGAAGAAAAGCAATTTATTATCTCGATTACAAATAAATGCATTCTTTTGTGGATTTCATAAAATAATTTTGACTTAAAGAGCAATTACTATTATCAGGAGTCAACTGGCAATTTGGGCTCTGCCACTTTTTGTCATTCCCAAAAATCATCATTAAAGGACAACAACTATAAATATTTGACTGACAATTTCGGCCAACTTTGCATATTGAAGATCTTGTCCTGCTGATCATCTTTGTTTTTTAAAGTTTCTATCTATCTATTATAGTTTTTAAGATAATGGGCAAAAACGAAAAGAAAATATGGTAAAATCGTCTTTTTATGACAATAACTCCTTTAAGAAATTGATTGATAATTTTGGCCTAGATATTGGCTTGCTGATAACTTTTGATATTTAAATTTCGACCGTTTTCAAGAAAACAGACAACACAAACTATTGGTAAAACTGTCATTTAAGGGCAATAGCTCTTGTAAAGTGTCGACCAAAGATCTCGACAATATTCGCTTAGTTTTAGATTATGCCTTGTGGCTCCTTTTTGCTTTCCAAACTTTCTCTATCGATGATATTTTTCAAAATAATAGGAAAAAACAGAATCGCCATTTAAGGGCAATAAATCCTATTAGGACTCATTCAATTGACGATTTTGGACTTTTTGACTTATTTGTAGATCTTGTCCTATGATCATTTTTGCTATTCTTTCTTTTATTATTTCAAGATCATAGGCAACAACAACAAAAAATTGGTAAACATCTTCATTAAAGGAAAATAACTCATAAAAGGAGTCGTCTGACAGTTTTTATGTAAATAGACAGTAGGTATATAATTCTGAACATTTCTACATTTCAGATATTCTCTTTAGCGCTTTTCATGATAATAGACAAAACTTACAATTTATCCCTATATTTTCATTTTCGCAATGTCGACCATTTTGGTTGGCAAGCGGGATCATCAGACACAATTTTTAAACTAGATGCCCAAATGATAATAGAAAAACAAAGGATATGGGGTATCCATCTATGACACAAAATCAGTACATGCACAACAAAAAACACACAAAAAGCAAAGGAGCAACGCTTTTATGGTGTTCTTCGTCTCAAAGTCACAATGAGGCCTTCAACACGGAGCCTCATCGATAAGTATGGCCATGTTTGGTTCTAATTTTCCCAGCCGAGTAGTTTCTGATGAGATGATTTTTGTTTCGCTTGCGACGAAAGTCGCAGACTGCGAGATATAGGGATTACAATCAGGTGGTGACTTGATCTGACTGCTGGGACAGAAATTCGAGTTCAAGTTTTTTGTCATCTAAAATACTCGCTTATTATGAGTAACACAATAACTATATTTGGTATATGACATTCTTGCAAGGTCTACATGTCAGCAGACAGGGTTCACCTGACCTCGACCTCATTTCATGAATAAATTAAATTTTGGGTCAACTATTTTAGGTATGTGGAATGATTGTAAGGTGTACATGACAGACTGGCAGGTTTCATCTGACCTTGTCCTCATTTTCAGGTTTGATTGGTCAATGTTATGTTATGTATGTGCAGCAGAAGCTGCTGAGAAATGTTTGATGATAAATTTCGCCATCGCTTAGTACATCAAATCTGGGATATACTTTTTTAGATATCCTCTGCTCAGAGGGAATTGGTCATACCAGAGACATATATACACATATGTGTGTATTGTCTCTGGTCATACTCACTCAACACTTTTATATGTAATAGAGGATACTACTGACCATTTCATTGAGTTCACAAGAACAAAAACCTTGAAAGCGAGTATTTTATTTAAATATAGACTGGAATTAAAAAAGGATGGAAAGACAAATAACAGAACAAATGATAGTTTTGTAACCCGGATTCAATTCTTTTTTGTTTTGTTTACTGAATATTAGTTGTAAAACGGACTATATCAGGCCGTGAGTTTTCTCGTTTAATTTGTTTACATTTGTCATAATTCGGGGTCTTTTATAACTTGCTATGCGGTATTGGTTTTGCTCATTGTTGACCTATAGTTTCTAACTTCTACGTCTTTTGGTCTCTGTTGGGAAACGTCTCATTGGCAATCACATCTTCTTATTTTTATATACACCGCGGTTTAAATTGAACGGTAAAACTAAGAAATTAGCTATTAAAATTGGCATAGATAGACAAGAGATTGTGGTTTTATTCAGATTGGACTTGAAAGTAATACTGGTGAAACTTCTTTTTACTTTTTGAACTTTTTTGGGGGGTTTAAATTAAGATTTTATTTTGCCCCATTGTATCGATTGTCAACTAGACTTAAGGGTGCATTTCTTTCTAACCAAAATTTTGTAAACGTTGTGTGCCGTTTGTTATCGTTTGCTAAACGCTACAAAAGTAGAAACAAATACAGCGTTTAATCAGTGTTTACTGACCCTGTTTGAACTTTCAATAATGCATGCAAATGTTGTTGGTGAACAGACTTATTACAAAAGTTGAAACAAAAACATCGTTTAATCAGGCTGAAGTTAGAAACAAATGTAGCGTTTGTTCTAACAAACGATAAACGACAAACTGTAGACGCAGTTTTAGCGAGTGCATAGTTTGTCAAAGTTTAGGTAAACTTTGCAAACGTATGTTAGAAACAAATGATCAAAACATGTGCGCGCTTAGCCGTTTGTATCGTTTGTGTTTGAAAGAAATGCACTCTAAGTTTAGAAAACTGACTCTTCGACTCGTTCTTAC